TTCTATATTCTCACGCAAATATTTTAATTCTCCGTATATATTTCTTATTCAGCACAGGAACATATAGAACAAACTAATTATGCATTGTCAGATACACAAAACAAAATTATATCCTGGTTACCATAAAATACACAAATAAATATTCTAAATTATGTGAAAGAGGAGAAAGAATTACATTTCAATGAATTCGATGTGCACGGTATTTAATGAACTATCATTCTAACTTATGTGGAGAAAATTAGCTCGATTTTAACTGTCTATTTTCCTTATAAATGATCAGCTGGCACTGGCGTCATAGATCACATGAGTGGGTATCTACGATCTTCTTCCTGAAGTGCAAGTACCCAACTATTTGTTAAAAAAATGAAAATTTTAATATTGCCTTTAAATTTTGGTCAATGTTAAGACAGCATAAGCCCACGGTAGATATCCTGCAGAAAAANAAAAAAAATCAGAAGTTTGAATTTTGTTCAAAAACATTAGCCTATTGTACCAAATCGTGAGCTCACGCTCGATCACCAAAACTTTCCGTTAGCTATTCAAATGAAAAGTTATGACTAAAGTAAGTTTTAGCTAAAGGGATACCTGCAAGTGACGCAATATGGGCATCTTGATCTAATTTGGTTGTTGACCAAACTTGGTATTTGTTAGCAACTGTGCTCTTTCCATTCTATTTCGAGTGAGCCAATCCCGTCAAGTATTAATTCTCTTAAGTGACACATTCTGCATTCTCAAGCAAATATTTTAATTCTCCTTACATATTTCTTATTTAGCACAGAGATAGGAACGAAGACGTAAAGAACATAAACAAACTAATCATGCATCGAAATTGTCAGGTACATTAAACAAAATTATATTATGGTTACAATAAAATTCACAAATAAATATTCTAAGTTGAGTAAAAGAGGAGAAAGAATTACATTTCAACGAATTCGTTGTGCAAATACGACAGAGTATTTAATTAACTTCACCTTAATTATCATTCTGACTTATGTGGAGAAAATTAGCTTAATTTTAACACGCTATTTTCCATATAAATGATCAGCTGACACTGACATCATAGATCACATGCGTGGGTATCTGCGATCTTCTTCTTGAAGTGCAAGTACACAACTAATTTTTAAAAAAATTAAAATTTTAATATTGCCTTTAAATTTTGGTCAATGTTAAGACAGCATAAGCCCACGGTAGATATCCTGCAGAAAAAAAATTCTGACAAAAGCAGATTTTTATGAATACTTGATAAATCTAAGCATTTTTTTTTAAAATTCCAAAAGCTAAAAATGTATTGTGCGCCCGATTAAGGAAGTTGTTAATTTTACAACGAAACAAACTTACTAAAATTTTATCAAGCTTCCAGAAGTTTCAATTCAGCCACTGTTATCCCATATTTGGAAATCGTTACTCCACCCACTAAAATAAGTAATGGTTAAATCAAAATTTAGCTACTTTTTAACCTATAAACAAGATCGAATTTGACCTCCAAATCTTAAAGCATAAAAATTTTTATTATGCATTGGAGCACCCACCAAAACTAAGTTACAACCTAATTAAGTAAGTTTCTCCCAAAAGAAAACAAAAAATCGTTAACCTTTCCACAAAAAAAAAAAATTACCAAAAAGAGTTTTAGTTTATTTTTTACCTAGAACACACGATTGAATTTTTCCTCTAAATAATAACCCTTTGTTTTTTAATAGTTATTCCATCCACTAAAAAATATGGAAATTATTTAAGCATATTTTTAACAAAGGAACTATGAATTAAAATTCTCCCTGCAAACTTTAAGAGTTTATAGAAAATCGTTAACCCCCACCAAATGTTTTGTATATCAGACAAAAATTTCTTACAAAAAACTCTTATAAAAATATATTAGGAAAATTAATCCATCTCTTTTGAGTTCCTTCTCTTTCTCCTGAATTTTCGAACTTGTGTGCTTTGAAATACTTATAATAATATTTGATTTCTCATTGTTTTCCTTGCAATTTTAGGTTGCGGCCTTTATTTTTAAGAGGGAAGAGAAAACCACTAATAGCAACTAAAATTCGATTGTTTGCTGCTAAGTTCGAGGTGAGACTACTATTTTTATAATAAATTGCTAAAAATTGACAATTTTCAGAAAAATGGCAAACAAAGAGATTAATTTTAAAACTTATTGTTATCAAACTAGTAAGTTGCGCTATATCTAATTATCAAATTTATATAAAAATATCAGATTTCGAAAAATCATGCCGAAATGTCCGAAAAGCAAAAATTATATTAAGAATACTCGGAAACAGATATGAATTTGTATTATTAAAAGCGTCGAGAGAAATATCAAAAAGTGATAATTCAATTTCTTAATTGCGAGTCGTAATAATATCACATATCAGCATCTTACATTTAAAAAAAAACCCGCAGAAAATGGACTAAAAATTATCAGTTAACAGCGTCGATATAGTAGTGAATGTCGTAAATTAAATGCGTCAGAATGTGCTCTCACTCAATACTTTCCAGATCATTTTAAAAAGGGCAAGCCTTGCTATTTCTGAGAACCAATAAAAATCCGAAACTATAATCATCATACAGGCCAATTACACTACTCCCTTGTCTAGGCAAATTTCTAGAAAAACTTATTACCAAGAGAATCAACTATTATATGGAAAAATATAACATTTTATCAGACAAGCAATTCGGTTTTCGATTTGGCAAATCTGTAAATCATGCACTTCAAAATTTTCTAGATAATCTAAAACATCTCAAAGACTACTTTAAACACGTCGCAGCCAACTCCCTTGATATTAAAGGCGCTTTTGATAACACACAATACAATTCAATTTATAAAAAAAATTAAACTTAAGATCTTCCTAAAAATTTATGTCACATGATAGAAGATATCAACAAAAATAGAATTGCTATTCTATCAACAAATCAAGGATTCAATACAAAACATATATTCAAAGGTTGCCCACAGGGTTTGAGCATAGGTCCGACAGCTTGGAATTTTTTAATCAATAGCTTGCTCAATACAAATATGAACAATCAAATTATACAAGCATTTGCCGACGTTATTATTCTATTAATATTTGGAAATTCAAGAAGAGAATTAGAAATTAATACCAACAACACACTCAATATTATTCAAAATTGGCTAACAATCAATTTCAATCAAGCATTAGACAAATCTGTTTTCATCCCTTTCTCCAACTCAAGCAGGGGTCCGATCTTTAAAATAAGCAACCAGAAAATCTTACAAAAGAACCAGTTTAGTTAAGACTCCTATCTAACATGTGGACCCCAGTTAAGACCCCTATCTAATATCACCCCCAGTTGGGGGTGATATTAGATAGGAGTCTTAACTGGGGTCCACATGTTAAAGCCCTGAAGGAGAAATCAAGCCAAATACTCACTTCTCTTAATAAAATTAATGCAAAGTCCCGGAGCATAAGACAGAGAGCTCATAAACTCATATATAAAACTGTAATAATCCCTTCCTTAGCCCACGGTTGATGTGCATGGGCCCAAAAAATCTGACCTAGAATCTCAAGAACTTTAAATTCAATCCAAAGGAAATTTCTTCTGAATATCACAAGAGCCTACCATTCCACTTCTACAAGTCTTAGCTGGATTCTCACCTCTCTCAGAACAGATTGCGTCGTTATCGTGTTCAATAATCATAACTCAACTTAAAAAAGACATTTCCTATAACAATATAAATTATCAATACAGTACTTACGAGGAAAAACAAACAATAACTATTTTTCACCCCTCTCAGTCTATCACTAATTTAATCAGTTTAGAAGAAAATAAAAACTATAATCACTTAGATCCATACAATTTTTTCACAGACGGTTCGAAAACAAATACTGGAACTGGTTTTGCATTCTTCAACATAAATCATTCTAATCATTACACAATTAATAATAACAACTCAGTCTTCCAAGCTGAACAACTTGCTATTTTAAAATGCATTAGATTCATCAAATCACAAACTTCATTTAAGGNAGCTTATGAAATCTTAGGCAATCCAATAAAGCGACAGTCTTACGACAGCGTAGACCCTGAATTTGATGACTCTGTACCTTCTTCCAGGTATTTGAAAATAATGGAATTATTTTAGCATTGGTACTTCTTGCATGAAACTATGAATAACCACCTTGAAATTATAAATAGCTAATATGAAGTACGTACTCTATAATGTTTATCTTTTGTGTATTTCGCCATATCTCGAGAACTTTTTAAGCGAATTGAAAACAGTTTGCACACAATTTAAAAATTCATTTATCAGAAGATAATTTCATGCAAAAATGACTTTTAATATTTATTTATTATGTTTTATTTACTTTACAGATAAAAAAAAATTAGAATTGTATGGTGTACTACTTTTTGCCTCATTTCAAAGAATGTCACTTTACTTTGATGAAATCAATTAAAGAAAGGAACGGTTTCTAAAAAATAAATAAAAAGCAGCATATAATACGCTTATAAGTTATGAAATGATAGCTAAGCTTTTCGCGCACACCTTGTCACACAGTAGCCTGTGACATCATATGGCAATGGCGCTAATTTGCTCCCCAAAGATTGTTGCGTAAAGTCTTAAAGCATCTTAGCATAGCACAATCTTTTTCTTTTTTTTTTTTTTGACATTTTTTTGTTTTGTTTACCCATCTTTAGTATCGCCAGTCTTCATCGTCTAGACCAGTGGTTCCCAACCTGGGGGCGATCACCCCAAAGAAGGCGATAGAGCTTCTCAAGGGGGCGATAATCCTTAGGGGGGGGGCGACGAGTACTCAAAAGATAAAAATTGCTAATAATATTAATAATAAAAGCTATTTGAGATTGAAAGTGAAAATATATATGAAACCTATGGTTCTGGTGTAGACAAAGAATTATGATAGTTAAAAATTTAAAAAAATTCAAGTGCAGGATCGTTTTCGTCATACGTTTTGGTATCGCAGACGGAAATCTGATAAGTCACTCTGTTCCTCTTAGCAATAAATACTGTTTCCAGGCGTATTGATGAAATGGCCGCCGACATTGAATCAAAACTTCTTAAATTTCTGAAAGAAGGTAAATTTGCGTTGCAGATTGATGAATCAACTGTGATAGATAACAAAGCTGTTTTAGCTTACCTGAGATTCATAAATGAGAGTAAGGAGATTAACGAGGAAATGTTGTTTACAAGAACTTTGAACACAGATACAAAAGGATCGTCGACTTTTAAATTGGTCAAAGATTATTTTGAGGTAAAAGAAATTCCCCTCACAAATGTAAGTGCTTGTACAACAGATGGTGCTCCAACCATGTCTGGTTGTCATACTGGGTTTCTGGGTCACCTTAAAAAAGTAGTACCGGAAGTTATCTCACCATTCATTATGTCAATCATCGTCAACTTCTGACTGCGAAAAATTGGTTATTTCTGGCATCAATAAAATAAAAGCTAATTCTCCTAATAACCTTTTGTTCCGAAAACTTTGCCATGAAAATGATGAAGATTTCGAATTTCTGCTCCTACATACAGCTGTGAGATGGCTTTCAAAAGGAAACTGAGCCGTTTCTTCGAATTACTGGATTCGGTTAATGAGTTTCTCGACACCATTGATCCTGCTTTAAGTGAAAGTTTGAAGCAACGCAAGTTGGAAACTG